TTTTCTTCGTTAAGGACCAAATAGCTTCTTTTCAATTAAAGCAAATCATTGTGTTTTTGAACCAAGTGTTCTGTGTGTGTGTTTATTCATTCATTGCGTGATTGCGACCGAGTTTGATTATAGAATTTAGTACAGCCGGTTCAGAGTTGTACTGCATGCAGTTGCTAGTTTGAACGTTAAACATGAATTACATAAATAAAGCAATTCTGTATCATGCAGACATTTCCAAACGATATTTTTCGGTTTGCCACCTGAAAATCGTGTTTTACGTTTTGTATGAATTAAAGCAAAGGTCAAGGAGTAGTGACGTCACTGGACGGTATTAACGGCCGGTCGATTCAGACGTTACTGAGGGCGTAATAACGACTCCAAGTAATCGGATGAAATTCAGGCTAGTCTGTAGCATGATTTTCAAATAATTTCAGAGAAGTTCGGAATGATTTCCCTAAAATAATTTTTACATAATATGAAAGTTTGTTGCTTGTAGTGTTTTCACCTTCATTCTTAAAAAATTCTGATCAAAGGCACATGATGAAAATCGTCGCTTTTTTCAACTACCCATCGTGGATAAACAACAGGTAGCTGTACGTTTTAGCTTTTTATAATTACTCAGATTGTTGTAATTCTAAAAATATTAGGGAACTTAAGAACCACGACGACGACCGGAAGTGAGTTACAGTGTACTGCGCTAGCGCGACTAGTAAATTTCGTCGTCGTGGTGTCGTCGATAGGCTCGATTACCAGCCGCTGTTCGGAAATGTACCGAAGAATATTTTTCACAATGTATGGAAATGTACCGAAAAAGCTATTTCGAAAGTCATTTGGGTGGGTAAAGGAGCGCTTGATGCAATTTTGAGCGAAATAAACAGGAAAATTGGAGACCGGTTTCACTTCCAGTGACATCGGAGACGCCTAAATTATCAATTTTCCAATTACGTCACAGACAAGGTCAACGGGTCACGCGTCCAGCCGTCTCTCTTCGGGCAGGATCAAAGACCGGACCCGGGAGACGGCGGAAATCGAGCCTATGTCGTCGACGACGCCAAACAAAGTAGAATCACATCGTCCTGCAATCCATAAGCTTCGGCAGGTATAAATCCACTGTTTTAAGCGATTTTTGAAGTCCTTTGCATTTTCTTATCCTCGTAAATCCAGGTATCGTTCCTTTTTTCTCCTAACAAGCGATGTTGATTGAAAATTCGGCTAATGAAGCGTTTTTACCTCGAAGAATGACAACAGCTGAGGGGGGCCGAGCGAGCGAACTCTTAAGTGATAAATTTATTTGTGCGCATTTAGGTAAGGCAAATCATATATCTATAATATAGAGGAAATACACTTTAAATGTAAAACAGCTATCTTATCAGAATGTCTCTTTTTCCAAAACTAAACTCTGACAGAGACTCGGATTCGGTCATCTCATTCAAGTTGAATAATCTTCGTACGGAAAGCAGGTGTTTTTCCCCTCGAAAAGGCCAGACAACACAAAAAATCTTCATCGTCAATGAAATTAGACGTACGGCTTAAAAAATAAGATCTTTCATTGTTTTAAAAGACGCCATTGCGAAAAACTTTGTTGCGACCGAACATCACAGTTTTACATTTGTGTTTACACACAGTGTCGTCGCCGTCGACCTACCGACCGACTGCATCTTAAGTTTCCTTTTTCCTGCTGAAAGCGACGTCCTCGTTCCAGTCTTTTCCCAGTCAACAGACGTCGTCGTCGTGAACTTCGTCGTGGTTCTTAAGTTCCCTGTTATAAATTTGGGCCAACGACGAGTTATACGTAAAATTTTAGCAATATGCTTTTTTACCTAGCGCGGTCGTTTTGAAACGCGAGTCAAGAGAATCATAGTGAATTTCAACCCTGTTTTTGGCTTGCAATTATCGACGGAGGGGCTTGAAACGGTTTTCCACGTTTTTGTCGGAAACGAACGGATCTTTCGAATAAAAAATTACACAGCGCTTTTATACTTACTTAGGTCTACCAGTATGCAGAAGAGCGATTTTGATTTTTTGAGCCTTGCGAATGGGCGGTTTTGGTCGATTTTTGCATGGATTCTCTCATAATTACCAGAATTTAGTTTCGTCTGTGCCTCAGGCTAAAAACAAATGGCCGAGCACAGATTTCTCAATAATAATTGCTTGATAATACACTTTCATTTGTTTTCGAATTCTGTGTTTTCAATTGAAACTCTGTTTACATTGCATGACCGACAAACACGTGACAAACGCCAAGTTTTTTGTGTCCAAGCGACATTAGCATAACCGTGGCTCTAACGACTCTGGTAACGACAATATTCTGGAGCTAATTCCACGCCTCTAAGAGGAAATGGTGGAGAAGGTCCGTTAGAACTGGCCGATTTTAAGAAGTTACCTAGCCGTACTCAAGTGTAGGACACTATGAAGGACGAAAACCATTTTTAAATTTCCTTTCAAACTTACAGTTTGTGTGGAATTTGAAGATTTCGCAAGTGCAATAATATTTTATGATACGCCAAGG